TTTAGAGTCTATTTTCCATTCAAACAACAGAGATTGCAACTTCTCAAACAATGATATACCGTCATGAGGAGGTGGCATGAAAGAAAAACTAATGACCTTATGTAAATGCCAAGCATTATCAATAAAATGCACAGTTAAACAAATGAATCCATCAGTGTTTATTGATGTCCATAGGTCTGATGTAACAGAAACTTTGCTATTGCACTTAGATATCTGTGATCGAATATGAGAAACTTCTTTGGTGAATAGTTTCTTGCAATAATTCCTAACGGTATTTCTAAAAATAATTGCACATCTCGATGAACATAGGTTAAAAGTGCTCGAACACCTACCCATTCGATATATTGAAAGGGCAAATCATGCATAATGATGCAAGTAGTAAATAAATCATGAAATTTAGTTGAATCAAACTTATAATCACTCATAGAAATGGATGAATTCGAGCCGGTTTGCAATATGAGTTTTCCTATATCCCTTCTCTTGCAATTTTGCAAATGGCGCCTTATGTTACTAGTCCCATTATTGCTATCACATAGATATAATGCACTACATTTCTTATATTTGCACATTTGTTTACCATCTTTAGGGTTAGATAACATCTCAAAATGACCCCAAACCAAAGAAACCAACCTTCTACGCTTCTTAACTATTATTGAACCATCATTACATGCATCATCAGATGGCTCAACCACTTTATCAGAAATGCCCACTTGCTCGTTCTCATCAAAAAATAACTCAGGAATGGTGTTTGAATCCTCCATCTAATGAACCAATTAAACCACATTACGCGGAGAAAAAATAATGTATTAAAAGTGCAAAAGTTAGAGCAGCAAGAACAACTATTTCATGTTCAATAATCACCATATATCCCCAATTCCCACTCTCCATTGGCTACCACAAAAATGCAGCAGCAAGAACAACAATAACATCAGAAACATCATGCTGCATGTATTAAAATTACAACAATTACAAGCTTACAACAGTCAAAAGAAAAAACCCTAACCTAACTTTTTTCCATATACAACAAATTTGTAAAGCCCTCAAATTTGTACAACCCTTCAACAATATAATTGTCAAATGTAAATTGAGGAAGCATAAAATATATAAAGCCCTAAAAATCAAACATAAAAAAATGAAAAAAATTTGTTGCCCTAACTGTAACTGGCATAAATGCATAGTAAAGTCCCAAATTGAAAGTGAAAAGCCGAAACTCGAAAGGCCCGAACCCTTAAGATAGAGGATCCAATGAGAAATCTCAAAACAACAAAATCGAAAGTGTGAATAACCCTAACATCTAAATGCCAAAACTCAGAATAATATAAATGATAATACCGCAGAGCCGCAGAGGGACAGAGTGTGCACACATCAAACTACAAGATTAAGATAGAGGAAGAGGATCGAACAAGTAGAATTGAAGTAGGAGAGGAAGGCAGCACAACAGCGAGCAAAGCCGAACACAGAGAGACCGAGACGAGAGTCACGAGATTGCAAAAAGTTGAAATGAAATGAATATTGAATTAGGGTTATCGCTATACGTCTAAATAAATGAAATGAATATTGAATTAGGGTTATCGCTATACGTCTAAATGCCAAATGGCTAAACCGCTAAACGGTTGACGCGAAGTCGCGAACTGGTTCCCGCATCGGGTCAATTTTGGGTCTAAAACGGGTTTTCGGGTTGACCCGAACCCGACCCAAAAATTGAAATGGGTCAAAATTCCCGAACCAAACCCTACCCGTTTCGGGTTGACTTGAACCCAAAATTTTCAGATCTGGTTTGAGTCGGGTTTTCGGGTCGTATCAGATATTTACACCTCTATCCAGTGATCAAGACTAGAAAAAGGACTCACGCTCGGCCTGATGATCCTTTCCTCCAACATCTCCCGAATCAGCTTCTCAATCTCATCCTTCTGGATTTGAGGGGTAGCGGTAAGACCTGACGCTTATTATTGACACCCCTTCCCTTAGAGTGATGGCATTCTTAAGCTCCCTCTGTGGTGACAATTCTTGAGGTGGCTGAGAAACCTCACTGAATTGTTTTATAAGTGCTGTGACGGCTGTGTTGCAAGAGGGATTTTTCCCTTCCTCCAATTGGATCCCGTCTAAGCTCTGCAATTCCACCATAAATCCTCCTCCCACCTCCTGTAAGGTTCTCGTCATGGTTTTGAGATACACCATGACCTTGGATAACCTTGTATTACCCTTGTTCACCACCTTTCTTCCCTCAACCACTAACTCCATTGTTAGTGATTCCTAATTAACCTTGGTATCCCTCAAGGTCGATAGACATTTCATCCCCATGATGACATTAGTTCTCCCTAACTCTAATGGAAGGAAGTCCTCCCTCACTTGAACTCCCTGTATGGTCATAACTACCCCCTACACACTCTTCTACCCATCTCCACCTTTCATGTGTCCATCATCACTCCATAGCACCATGTGTCCACCAGTTTCACCCTCAATTGGCCTATAACCTGCTTCACTGTCTATCAACATCACTATCTCCTTTTCTGATGATTCTCGTCACTTTCGTGACGTGGTTTTGAGTGAATCCCACCACTAAGTTCAAGGAGACCTCTGTCATGTCTAAATGCAGCTCTTCCTTCTCCTCTACTAATTCCTCACTCCCACCTCCCTTCTTAACTTCATCGTTATCGCAAACAGTGAGAACATGAAGAATTTGGTCCTTACACTTGTGCCCCAGTGTATAGCTCTCATCAAATCTAAAACACAGTTCCTTCGCCCTCTTGTCCTGCAGTTCCTTCTTAGTGAGCTTCTTGAAGTTTCTCCTAATTTTCCCTCCTATAGGCTTCTCCTTCAGGGTCTCTCAAAGGATACCCAGTGTTGGTCCCTTGAGTACTAAAAAGGTGGTGGTTATCCAGTACAAGCCTCCAGAACTACTGCTTCTGGCCCTCCTCTCCAGGTGCTTATAATCCTTCACTAACTGGGCTAGCTCCATATCCTCTCCCAAATCACGGGGCCTCATAACTCTAACTGTCGCCCGAATCTCTAGTTTGAGCACTTTCATAAAGTTTCCCTCTATACCATCTCAAAATGTCAATCCAGTCGGCTAGCCAAACCTCTCACGTACCCCACCCTTGACCCCTCGTGCTTAAGAGCAAAGAGCTGCTCATAGAAGTTCTCTCCCTTGCTGGTTCGGAAACGTTCGAACAAGCAACCTTTGAACTCCCTTCAACTCTATGGTCTGCCTCATGTCTCTCCAATGGTTCCAAACCAATGCATTCTCCTCCAAATTCAAGTTAGCTGCCGTCAGTCTCTCCTCCTCCATCAACCCATTGACGGTGAAATATCTCTCCACTTTGTAGATCCACCCATGTATATCCTATCCCTCAAAATAGGCATCCTCATCTTCCTTACCCTTGGATCTTCTTCGGTCCCCCTGATTCCTTTATAACTTCCATTACCGAAGCGGTTGGTTCCTCCCAAGTATCTCGATCATCTCTTCCACCCTCGTAATCAAACCCCTAATCAAAGTCCCCCATCCTCCTTTCAAAATTAGCATCTCTCAGATCATAATCAACCCCCTTCTTTCAAATTCAGCACCCCTTCGTTCATACCCGACCCCCTCATGCCTCTCTCTCCATACCTCTTACCCATTTCCTCCCTATGAATAGGATCTAGAGGAGGTCTTCTCTCTTCTCCCTCCAAGATCTCCACATCGTGATCATCCCTTCAGCTACCAGAGTTTGCATTCCCTCCTATCGACGCTCTTGCCTCTGATGCTGCCGGTTGGTTGTGAAGTTCCAACACCTTCTTCACTATCTCTTCTAGGTTGGAGAACTTATCCTCCATTGATGAAATTCTGTCCTCAACTATCACTTTGATTTGACTCATTTCTCCTTCAAGACGTTCTTCCAAGGCATCAACTTTCTTGGCCACTATAGATGTACCCGAATCTTGGCCAAACAACAAAAACAGTGAATCTGGCCTTCAAACAACATAAATCAGCACTTTGGAGGGGAAAACACAGTAGAAATCAGCAAGGAAAGCCCTCTTTCAGTTCAAGACAATACTTTGATATCAATTTGATAGGAAGTGTTTGTAAAAATCAAAGAACCCTTAGCTGAATTTTAATTTCAACAACCCCAAACACAATCCACAAGAAGAACTATGAGGAATAACAAGAGAGAATTTTTTTAATTGATGATATATGGAAGAAAAACAAACAAGATACAATGGATCTTCAATTGGAGAGGAAGATCCAGCTCTCCCAAATCCCAAGCCGCCGGCTAGAGCGCGATCAACCTAAAGAGCAATCTAAAGTCAACAAATAAGACATAATCCTAACCCTAGGAAAATAACCTACTTAAAGCATACAATCATGATGTAATCCCAAAACATCCCCTCTGAATTTTCCCTCCTAACAAAACCTTAATTCCATCCAATTGGCTGCTGAATCCTACCTCAAATGGGGCGGAACAAGTTCCGCCTCTTATACACCAGGGCCCATCCTGGACCGGTCCTAGACCTAACACAACATTTCAAATGGATCATTCAATTAAGCTTTCTATTAGTTAGAGCTGAATTGTAAAACAGCCCCCTCACATATATGACGTGATCTCCGTTCAAATTATTCTTCGGATGAGAAAAGCATGGCAAGAGAACATCCCAAAGACTTTGAACTCAGACTGGATATTTGTCACTAAATTCGGAACTCCAAGAACACATGTTTAGGACAGCAGATGCAGGAAAGAAACCTTCATTGCTTCTTTCAGGTGTTTTATTTTGTTCCATCTATGTCAACTTTGCAATTTTGCTATTTGTTTCTCTAGTAGTGTCATTATCTTCTTTATACCGTGGGCATGCTTAGTAGTATGCTATAGTTCCTAAAAGGATATAATTAAAAGTTGTTGTTTGTTTGCCTTGAGTCACCTTTTCTAGTTTTGCAACGTTAATGCGGTTTTTGGGCTTTTTAAGTACTTCTCTTCTATTCCAAGTTAGTTTGTGCCATTGATATGCTTATTATTAAATTTTGGCAGGTTCGAAGCTGGAACTCCTGCTATTGCTGAAGCCATTGGACTCGGTGCAGCAATTGAATATCTCTCTGGAATTGGCATGCAACGAATCCATGATTATGAGGTGAGTTGATTTTGCACTTTAATGTTAGAAGGGAATATGGCTAGGAATCAGAAGGAAGATAAAAAAGAGAGGAAAACATGATAATGTGGATAATGTGAGGTGGCATTTCAAGTTGTTGGAAAACAATTATTCATCAAATCAATCTCCAGAAAACATTAAAAAGTGATACATAAGCGATCTAATTGATTCTCAAATCAAAAGCATTAACCTGTGTGAGTTCCCTATTGATATACTTCTGCATAAGCGCTTACCAAGGCGTCATTATTTCATGAGTTTTTTATTCCAGATCCTAGATTGTTGACTTGTAGATCTTATTATTGTTTGTCATAGTGCTGCCAGTTTTCTATTAGACGAGATTTTTTCCTAGGTGCATGCATTCATCCTTCCTTTCCAAGAAGTACAATGGACCAAAGAATGGGGGATCTAATAATATATTTGATATTATATATAATTTAGCTGATTACTTCTCTAGAACTTTTTTCTGAATCCAATGGAGATTTCAGGGATGATTATTGAGTGAATATTAATTATTATTATTATTTCTGCTTGGGCTTCGTTTAGTATTTTCATTCTACATTACCATCAATTCTTAAAATTCAATTGTTTTTGTTTTTTTTTTACCGTGCTGCTAATATTATTAATTTCTTGTTTTGCGTATGCATTGTGATTGAAAAGATTTCTATTTTATGTTGTCCTTTCATGTTTCCTAATTGTAGAGGGAGCTGGCGGATTATCTTTATTACAGCCTGACTTCTATTCCGAATGTACGGGTCTATGGTCCTGCTCCTTCAGAAATTATTCATCGTGCTGCTCTTTGTTCATTCAATGTTGAGAATATTCACCCAACAGATATTGCAACAATTCTTAATGAGGAGGTGTGTGCAAAGTAAAAGTCTATTTTGTACATTTTGTTGTCATTTTTGCTCTAGCAATTTAAATCGTCACTTTTATTTTTATAATGCAAAAGTCGTGATTCAGAACCTTCTCTAAAATGCAAGTTGTTGAGTAACCAAATAGAAACGAGTATTGCTGCATTGGCCAAAGAAATCTACTTAAAAAATAAATGAGGTCCACTTGTTTAGGTGCCTAATCAAAATGAAGATTGTCATGCACTTCTGCTTGAGGAAAGTCTTTTATTGAGTTTTTTGTGTAGATTTGTTTGAGGCGTAGCATTTCTCAATAGAAAATTTGTTGATCCTGAACAAAACTAGAGATGAGTCATTATAGCCGCCTCTTAGTTGCTTAACAGGATCAAAACCTTCAGCTTATATAATTCCCAAGATTTCCTTTCCCACCCATCCAATCACATAGACATTTTTTTTTTCTCTTTTGTCCACAACCTTTTAGCATGACAGAACATATGAGTTGGATGAATGACCATTGAAGTACTCGAGATGAATAAGTGGGTTGAACTGAACTTGGCTGCTAGGTTTGGATGAGCAATGGGTCAATTTACTTGGTTAAATATGATTACACTGCTAGTGGTCAAGTCTGGTTGGGAAAGTTCGATTCTGGGACTTAAGTAATACTCTCTCTTTCTCATATATAAGTAATACTCTCTTTCTCATATATTTATACAGTATGGCGTGGCCATTCGATCGGGTCATCATTGTGCTCAGCCACTCCACCGGTACTTCGGAGTTAATGCTAGTGCTCGCGCAAGCCTTTACTTCTACAATACCAAGGAGGAGGTGGATCACTTCATTGAGGCTCTTAGAGAGACAATCAAATTTTTCTCCATATAAGTAGCTAGCTAATCTGTGATCTTGTAATAATTCTTGCGAACTGTAATGTAAATAGTATAATAATTTTTGCTTTTGGGAAGGAAATGTCCTCATCATTTTACTGAACTTCTCCAGTCTTTGTGAAAATCAGGTAAATTTTGTTTTAAACATAGCAGGTCAGTTCCCCTAGTTTAGTGTGATGGATACACTCAGCTTGAGGACCTTTACGTACTGCGGATTATTCAGCTAAAGGTCAGCAAAGTTACACATACTTTTGGTCAGTCTTGTCATGGGATGTTGCTATGTTGTTTCCTGCATCTCATGTCAGCATATTGATAGGTTGATCTATTTGTTAAATCTTATGATTAAATGTGTTGTAGTTCTGGCATAGGGAACATATTTCACTTGAATATATAGATTGTTTTTCTGAACAATTATTGTCTTGCAGTAGCCAAATATAAACACATTCATTTATAATTCCTCATGTTTAATTCTAATTAGATGTGATCAATTGTTTATTAAACAAGTGGTTCTTATTTAATTATAATTGCATATGATCAATTGGGTATTAATTGGATGGTTTGTTGCTGATTATCTTAACGAGTACAGATTAAGCGAGAGTTGCTTCTCAGATTTAATCCCCTTATGTGAGCTTTTATATAGCACTGTTTCTTTATAGGCAAAAGGTCCATCTCTTTATCGACATGAGTAGTGGTTCTAAACCACCACTTAGGAAACTACTAATCTTTAACTTACAAGTCAAAGTGATTAAACTTCTGTTAACTCAGTAGCATCATAATAGTTCATTTGAATAAGTAAACATTCAATTGTATGGCTTTCATGATATAACTAAGGATTATCCAGTACATGTTGGATAGGATGTTATTATCAAAGATGGGAAATCCATTTAGGCCACAGGACCCTTTTAAGAGCTTTCGGATCACACACATTCCACATGTTGTCTAGATTTGCAGCAATACACTAACAATGTTGAATTAAGATGGAAGAAGTGATATTTTCTTAAAATTTTCAGGCACAATTTGATTAATCCGATGGCCATCAAGTCATAAGGGCTTGAACATAGGCTAGTTCATGCAATTAATAATAAGAAACATATTTGTTAAAATTTTTTTTGAATTGAAATCAAGATAAATTTATAAGATATCTGGATCCAATCATGCATGGATGCGTAGGATCAGTTTACCTCCGATTCTCCATTGCTGCAAGGCCTTCATTTTTGTAGATCCAGTTGCAGATTCAGCATATCAAATAGCATCCACTCTAGGCAACCATTGATGACATGCCTTCTTGTAGTATTTCTTTTTATTATTTTGTTTTTTTTTCCCTTTTTCTCTGCTCTAGGGCAATTATTGGGAGGAGACATCAGGTTCCGTCTGCTAGTGAAAAGTTATAGGATGGGCTGTAGGAGAAATTATTTTGTGCGGACGCTAAACGTATTTCACCATCCGGGGACCAACCAGAATGCTCCACGTCAGCACTACCGAACGAGATATCGAGCACGGTACCGAGCTGCGGTACAGAGCAGGGGTGACGTGGCATATTTTGATTGGTCTCTAGACGGTGTTCGGTGTCCGCACAGAATAATTTCTCGGGGCTGCATACTGATTTGCAATGAGAAAGTGTGAGTGTTATCCCCAGGCGTGTATACTTCATGTCTTGGATTAATGAATGAGATTTGACTTGAAAATTTCAACAGTCGAGATAGGTCAATGAGACAATGGCAGGGTTTCAAGTGCTATTTTAGTTATAGTTTATACAGATTATGATTCTTGTATGCTCTTTTCGTAATGGTAACATCTCTTTATTAGAACTATCTTAGGAATCTGCATATCCTATCATTAGCAAATGCAGAATATTTTGCAAATCTCTCCAAAATCATGTTCATGGGAATTATTTCGAGTATTTCTAGATAATGTGATTATTTCTCGAGGTTATAAAAACGATGAGAAAAGGATCTCGAGATGTTCTCCATGCTTCACATATGAAGAATATAGATGAATAATCAATTTGTGAGATGTTCTCCATGCAACGCGCGCGGAATTGGGCTGGCCTAGGGACGGTGCGGAACTGGCCTGGCCTCGGGACGGCGGCGCGAAACTGGCTTGGCCTCGGGACTCCGACGCGGACATTCTGGGCGGGGGTTGTGTGCATTCCGGGTCATTTCGGGTTATTCCCGGGTTCCCGGGTCAACTCGAACCCGACCCGATTTTTCAAACAGGTCAGTTTTCAGGACCCGAACCTGACCCGCTTCGGGTTCGGGTCAACCCAAACCCGAAATTTTCGGATCGGGTTCGGGTCAACTTTTCGGGTGGGGTCCAATATTGACAGGTCTATGCTAGAGTGGGTTGGAGAGTATATCAGATTTGAGAACCTCCCAACTGGCGTCCACCAACTAGCACCATCCCTGTTTCACCCTTTTATCTATTGCAGGTTCCACTCTGCCCCCATCTCTCCTTCACTAATCTCATTCACTTAGTCGCATCCCACATGCCAAGTAAATCTAACCTACCCTAAAAGGCCCACATAGAGAGATCTCTGACTCCTTTTAAGCTCTTTTGTACAATCAAAAGCAAATGCCCCTCAAATTCACTCCTTGAGAAAAGCTGAATAACAATCTTTTGTGCTGTCTTTTGCCCCTCACAAGCTGCTCTGGTCTGATCTCTCTACCACTGGAGACAACTAATGTTTCCATTTGTGTCTGACACAAAATTGAAAATGCCGTTAGATTTTTTTAAAGATGTTTTATGTGGGTTTTGGATTTAGAATTAAGGTTTTAGGGTTTGAGGTTGAGAGTATTTTTTTCCACTTTGACATAAATTATATCAAAGTATCTTCACATCATTTTTTTTCTTATTTTTGTAGGGGAATTAGGGTTTGGTTGTTGGTGGTGATGATTAGAAGCTTTTGCCCTTTCTAAATGTTTCATTGAAGAAAATGCTTCATCACTTATAGCCTAAAAAAATATAATAAAAAATAAAAAAATTTGAATGTGAAATACGAAGTATTTAATATGTTAGAATAAGTTTTTTTTTTCTTAATAATTTAAAATTTTAAATGAGATTTATTTAGAAATTTATATTTTATCCTTGTTTAATTTAATGAATCATTATAAATTTTCCCAAATAAAAAATGTAAGATTACTATTTTTTAAATTAAACCATACAAGATGCAAATTTAATATTTATTTATAAATTTATACAATAATGTCATTTTTTTATTTTTTTATGAGAGAACTTTTTTTTATTCAGCTTTTTGCCAAATCAAGTCTATAAATATTACACTAGAAAATAAGGTGTCTATATTTTCTTTGAGATGCCGTGCGTTAGTTGAATCTCTCCAAAAGCACGCAATTGACTGTTGTTCAATATTTCCTGCTTTTGGGACTGTTCGATGATTGATTATGAAAGTAGGCTGTGTTGAAGGAGAATTTCTTTGGGAAAAAAAAGGGTGTACAATTATCATATAATATTATTAGATTAAATAATGATATAGAGGATTAGGGGTGCAAACGAGTTGAGCCGAGCTCGACTATCAAAACCCGAGCTCGATCTTGATTCGAGTTCAAAATCCAAGCTTGAGCTTGACTCATATTCAAGTCAAGCGGCTCGTCTAGCTCCATTGTCGAGCTCGTCGTCGTGTCTGTCGTCCCGAGTTTCTTCCCTCGTCATCGTGTCCATCATCCAAAGGTCCGTCGTCATCCAAAGCTCGTCCATCGTTGAGCAGAGATTCATCGTCGAGCATAAATCTATCGTTGAGCAGAGATTTGTCGTCCCGAACTCATAGTCACATCCACCATCGAAAATCGCCGTCAAAA